TTATCCAACGAATTACGTAAATGATTTCCGACGGTAAGAAAAACAATCCGCCTGAAGTGAAGTACAACGAGATGAGTTTTTCAAACAGTCTGCCGCTGTAGTTGAAATGGTGCTGTAAATTGACCCAACGCCATTTCACTTCTTTCAAAAAGCAAAAAGAAATTGAGATAATGGCGAGGGGTAAACGTTTATCACTCTTGGAAACGTGCACTTCTCCGTGAGGTTACTGACAATGAAAAATAATCGACGCGTGTTTTAGGAACTTCGGTGGTGTTTTTGGATGCTTTTATTTGTTTTTTTTCTGTTGGCTTGTTTTCTTGTTGGTAGCCATACACATAGATATATTGGGTCTCAGGAATTAAACCGTTCCTTCCATGCTGATAATAAACACCATGTAGTTAACGGTTTCTGCTCAAGATTCAAGTTGAAAAATATAACTGGCATCCTCTAAGACTGGTGCATTATATATTGAAAAAGTTACGTTCGCATTCTATGAAAATGCTTTTTTATCCTGACTCAGATCCGTAAAGTAGAATAATTTAGTAAAACAAAGCATTGCTGATATAAAAAAATGAAATTATGGAATCCGAATATAACAATTTATCCCCATACCACTTTTTTACCTTGTAGAATCTTTACTACTGGCCCGCTATGGAATTTCTTTCAGCTGGTCATGTAATATAATGAATATAATTTATTGAAAAGATGTATAGCTGGTACATTTTTTCTTTTTTAGAACAGTAAAAGACTACTTTGTATGCCCTGATATTATTACTGTTTGATGGCTATAAGGATACTCATAGGTCTGTATAATGACATGTTATGTTGTAGGTTTGCCCGAAGAAAAAGTACTAAGCATAGATAAGATAATTTTATTCCCTTTCCAAAGTATTTTGATATGGCTGGGTGGCAGATTAGTTAGCGTGTCGAGTTACTAACTGATCGACCCGAAGGATTGCGGCTTCTAATTCGGAAATCATTTCCGAGCCATGGATGATGTGTCGTGGGTTGTCTATGTCACGAGCTAGATCGGTCCAAGGTTGACAGAGATACATCGCATCGCTGGAGCTAGTTCAAAAACTTCTTCTCCGCCATTCCTTCGAGAGATAATTGTTTCGCTGACGCGGGCGCATCGGCTGTCTGTTCATCTATAACCGAAATTATCCACGTTTGGATGGAGGGATACATTCCCCATACAGTGAAAGTGCTTGAGCCAGAGTCCAGCTGATGGTTCAACAAATCTTGTGACACTGCTCGCCAGCAGAATATTAAGGCACACAGAACCTTCTTCCACCTTCTTACAAAGCCCCACTGTAGAGAATCCGACGTCGAGTCCAGAAACAAACGGTTCGTAATGCCAAAAACCAGCGCGATATAAAAGTTATGCACAGAGTAATGTCTCAGCGCAATGGCTGTCGGTCTTCCTGGACGCTGGCTAGGCAGATTGATAGGAACTTCCCACAGAGTAGGATTCCACCACATACGGGTCAGTATGGAAGATTGTAACTGACTCAAAGGCTAAGGCGGAAGTGCTTGCTAAGTTCTCTGCTGCCAAGTCCACCATGGACGTTCCCCCCAACGCCCAAGTACCGTCGATTCAAGGGGTACCCCACGCTATGCGGGAAGTAACATTCAGGCATAAGACCATAAGACGGGTGTTCCTGGCGCTCGATATCACTAAGGTGTTCGATCAGCTTTGGCACGCTTTCATTGGGATCCTCATAGCATTCGCGGTGTCCTGGCATTTAGGCTTCTGCCTGCGCGGTTGTTTCGGTAAAAAAAATGATGCGTGTCGTTAACTCAGCTGTTCAGGTAGAAAATTCATCGCGTGGATTTTCGCGTAAACTGAGAAGTGTCTTCCCTCACCCTCTACATCCCCACCCACCAATACATTTTTCAAGAAAATGATTTTTGCCTTTAGCTTCGCCGCCACTGGTTTCAATTTTTGAAAACTTAAATCTGCCCCGTCCTTGGCGTATAAACAGATTTTGTATTTTGGAAAAGCTAATAATTTGTCCGTTTATCGCTTGGATCTGTGGAAAGTAGGCTAGTATGCCCAAACAGTATGAGAGCCGGCTAAAAATGTTTGGGTTGAATCGCGTACTGAGATAAATACTAGTCAAATATCACGCATTTTTTAATTGATCTTCAGGAAATTGAAAATTTGCCGAACTGGGATACACTGTGTGCCACAATAAAAAAATAATGGGCGATCGTGTGACGACTCATTTTAAAGCTGCTTTTGAGTAAATTGTTATCTTAGAATATGATGTCAAATATCTTTGGAAATTGCGTTTTTGTACATTGAGTCGCTTATAACTAATAATCAAAGCTATATAGTATATTATAATAATCTCTTCTTTTTGAAGGGTCTATCTGAGGGCGCAATAAAATATGGAACATTTAGCTTATAGTCGAAATCACGAAAGATGGCGATTACGTCGTCATTTTAGTCTGTAGTAACGACAAACGACAGCGATTTGTGAATATTTTTAATGAAGTTTCAGATATGTTAGACAGAGACAAACATAATTTTATTGTCTAAACAAACTGTATTGCTAATTTGCATGTATCCGACAAAGACAGACGATGTTTTCATGTTGCATGATCGATCATATTTATTTAAGGTAAATTCCAAAATGGCAGTCAGTTACCACCTTGAACCTTGCCATCTCCACGCTAAAATGTGGTTTTCATACATTAATCAGTATTCCAAATTACGGCTTGCTTATCTGACCCGCTTAAACAATAAAAGGGAGGGGGGGGTCTTTCTGAAAAGCGCTGTATGTGGTTTCTTTGGAGCGGCTGATAAAACTCAGGAAAGATTTTCTCTAGTTACGTTTTACACTGGCAAGTCCGTGCCATTCGCTGTAAGGAACAACTTCCCGAAGTTTTATTCCGGTACGAAGTTCCATGGCATTTTATCACGGTACGAGATGTATTCTGGTACAGAAAATTTTCAAATCTTCCTAACAGCACCTTAGGATCAGAGTACGTAAGAACTGTCTAGTTTTAGTGATGTCATCTCTTTAAACGATGAAACCAAAAATTTGTGGCCGGCTTTTGGACTAAAAGAACATGTACATTTGTAGCAAGCCAAATTGTAGTAGGTATGTACATTTATGATAGCTGCCACTTGATCTAACGAACTTCAGACTGAAACTCTTCCATCGCAGATAAATTGGTCGAGAGCACTCACACTAGTGGTAAGAGAGGTCCATCAATCGAGCTTAGATCGTGTTGGTATTCGTTCAGTAAACTAATAAGGTAAATTTAAATTCTGGTGCAAGCCGAGCTCCTAGATTCATGCTCCTACTGCATCATGATGGAGGGTGTTTCTACTTTATTGGCTCTACTTTGAAGTCATGTTAATCTTTCAATTATACCGGGTGATTCTTCAAGGTGGTTCACCCCTATAGCTTTTTTATTATTGAAGATAGAAAAACGGGGTTGCATATTATAGATGTTTTGACATATTTATTTGCCTTGACGTACTTCCTGTTTGACCACAAATGACTCCAAATTTCGATGTTTACAGATGTTTATTTATATCTAGAATGACATTCTGAACTCAGCAACGCTGCATTTGTCAATATTTGACAAATTAAGTAATTTTTATTTTTTGATGTAGAATGCCATGGATCCTGTAAATCACTTCATTTTTGATCAAGTAAAATGGGATAAATACGATTTTGAGGCCAGTGACCTTACAGTCGCTTTCAAGATTTTTTTAAAGTTACAAACACTGATTTTTTCAGTTTACCTGATTTTTTCAAATAGAAAGGGGGTGGCAAGTCGACTTCTTCTAAGAGACCATTTTCTTATGAATAATTTGACACTTCACGCTCTTATTTTATTTTCACTATTTTTCCGAATAATTGTAAGAAGCGATCATAACTAACAACAGATAACACGTATCTGCATTCGGTATACCTATGCACTAAGTCCTATTACTCTACGAGGTTATCTATGACAAATAATTGAAAGTGCTGCTTTCGAAGTTCAAAATGTGCACCGAACCAGAAGTTAAAATGTGAATAACTTTATAGTCAGTGAAGTTGGAGTAAACTATACAAGTGAAATAAATGCATACCCTACCATTATTATAACTAAAAATAAAATTCAAAAATGTGTCATTAAGGTTCTAGGTGTTCAAAATGGCGTCCTCCTTGATCATGGCAAAGTTCAACTTTATCAGTTGTTGCTTGCACCACATTGATTAACTATTCCGCAGGATGTTCCGGAATTCCGCACTTACTTTATGCTCCAGTTCTTCGCGAGTAGCTGACGTCGTTTTATACACCTGATTTTCAATTGTTCCCTAAAAAAAATCTCATAGTAAGTTGTCTATCGAAAATTATTGGCCCTAAAAGTTTTTCTCCGATAATACCCATCCCGCAGTTGGAACCAAGGTGCCCTTGAAAACTTCCTTCTTGCATTAGACGTTAGTTTGCTTGGGACCTGTACCTTTTATTATTCCGATTGAACATACCTAAGATGGTAAACCGCCTTTCATATATATAAATAATTTTGAAAGAAAAACGTACATCTCTGTATTTAGTCAAAAACCATCTTCGGTTGTGGTCGTCAACGTAACGATGTTGGTATAATTGGTACTTGGTTGTTCGATGGTTATACATATTTGTGAAGAATTTTCCAAACGGATTAATAACTCCTTATACTGCGCCTCGCCTTCATAAATAAGAATAGTGTAGTAGCTCTGCTTGCAGTCAAATCTCACACAGTTCAAACCAAATTTTCTCACCCTAGATACAGTCCTGTCCTTACCGCCACTCCATCGAACGCTCATACTTTGTTTGTGTGTCGAATCGAGCAGTTCGTTCCCGGTTAGTGCGTACTTTAGTGCCGGGATTTTTTCAAATTGTGGGTATCATGCAGAAAAATCAATTAAGCGAAGGCACCCCAGCCTTTCTCGCGAATCTAGCGCGGAAAATGCAAGAAATATGGCTGATGTAATGAATTGTCTTCAAGACATTACTAAGAGATTGCGGAAAATTGAAGATCGCCGCAGCCGAAGCCCAGTACGGAAACGACATCGGAGAGTAGTGTCGTCTTTGTCTTCATCGTCTCAGTCGTCGGAGTCCTCTCTGTCATCTAGATCAAGGACTCCCCCTGGTTCGAATATAATGGATCGGTCCGGGGGCCACGCTTCAAATTGCACGGTTTCACCGATTTGTTTACCTTCGGCTGGTGAGTAACATTCGAACCTTTTTTCGTACTTCAGGGTATCAAGGAAGTATACCCATTCTCTAAGCAGGTATCGATGAGGGTACCTATTTATTTCATCTTGTACCAATGAGTGTACCGAATTATGTCGCCTGGTACCAATGAGTGTACTTACGTATTTTGCCGGGTATCGATGAGAGTACCTTTTTTGTTTTTGGCTGGATGATAAGGTATCAATGAGCATACCTTCCGTTTATCCCGCTCTTCACAGTTTCTGGTCAAGTTGGGACAACGTGTCACATTAGTGATGATGATACACTAACACATCCAGGTGGAATAAAAATGTTGTTTCTTCCAGGGCAAGGAGACGCCCCTCCTCCTGGTGTCGAGCTCTCAGAAGATGTCGTCGAAATCCTGGGCACACCTGATACCAACACATTCATTGATGGGCCCAATTTACACAAAGATTTAGTTTCCCGTTGGCAAAAAGCTGTGGCCGCGGGGTTGTCTGAAGAGGCCAAAAAGGAACTTTGCAACAAGTATCCTCCCCCCTAAAATTTTCAATACATAGCGGCCCCAAAACTTAACCCGATGATTGTCAAGGCGATATCACCCTCAAATTTACAAAGGGACACTCGGTTGATGGCTCTACAGGGTCAAACAGCCGCATGTTTAGCCGCTACGGGCCAACTTTCTAGCTTAATGTTGGCTGAAGAGGGGGGGGCAACCGAAAATACATCAAACTGCTCAACGATGTAAGCAGATTAATGCTAGACGTTTTTCATCAACAAACGGTGACTCGCAGAGGATTAATTTCGATTAATTTAAACCAGGATTTCCAAAAGGCCAACGAAGATATACCACCGGACTCCTGGCTTTTCGGCGAAAACTTGGAGGAGCGTCTCAAGGCTTCCCACAGCTTGGAGATGTCCGGGAAAACCATAAAACCAAAGCCGGCAAAATCGGTTCGTAAGAAGTCTTTAAACTCCTGTGCCCCATCTCGACAACACCGAGCAACTCGTCGGGAGGGGGTCCAATATCAAGCTCAGCAGCGCTCGGGGTTCAAGCCACCACTGCGACACAAAAGTCAGGAATTTCGCAGCAACAACAACCCTCAACGCGGATGAACAAATCGCAGTTGGCAATGAATCCAACCTCTGAGGTGCGTGTCGCTGGTAGGCTTAAACATTTCTACCCCAATTGGCTTAGGGTTTGTCAGGATAAATTAGTCCTTAGTTGGTTTAAAGGTTTAAAGTTACCATTTAGACATTATCCTAAACAACAAAATTTTGCAGTTACCTCATGGTCACTTCAGGATCAAGCTTCTATCCAAGTTTGCATAGTTAGATTACTACTAACAGGAGCCATTACCATGGCTTCGGCGAGTGATAAGCAGTACATATCTAATAATTTTCTCAGGCCAAAAAACCATGGCTCTAATCGTCTCATTCTGAATCTGAAAAATGTCAACAGACATATACATTGCAGCCATTTTAAGATGGAAGATAGTCGCACTGTAAAGAATTTAGTCCGCAGGAACTGTTTCATGTGTAAGGTGGACTTAAAAGATGCGTATTTTCTAATATCAGTGCACAAAAAATACAGGAAATGCTTAAGATTCGAATTTTGTGGGCAGCTATATGAATTAAGGTGTATGCCCTTTGGGCTAAACATAGCACCTTACATTTTTACAAAATTAATGAAACCCGTTATTACTTTTCTTAGAGCAAAAGGGCTTTTATCTGTTATTTACTTGGATGATATTCTTTTGTTTGGTAACACCCATGAAGAGTGTCTCTCTAATCTTAAGGAGACCCTAAACCTCTTACTTTCATTAGGCTTCCTGCCAAACTACGAGAAATCCATTTTAGCCCCATCCCAGTCAATTCAATATATTGGATTCATTTATAATTCGATAGATATGTCTATTCGTATTCCTCATGAAAAAGTTTTAAAATCCAGACAGCTAGTGCAAAAAATGTCATCAGTGGAAAAGTGTAGTATTAGAGAATTTGCCAGATTGTTGCGGAAACTAGTCAGTATCTGTCCTGGAATCAAGTACGGCTGGTTGTACACAAAAAACTTCGAACGGGAAAAACACTTAGCATTACTCAAGTCGAGAGGGAATTTTGATGCAATTATGCGACTTTCCTCAACACTTATTCACGATTTTAACTGGTGGTTTACTAACTTGCCACAGGCAAAAAACTTCATTCAAGTTGATTCGTTTGTTATAGAAATTTTTTCCGATGCAACAGACACTGGCTGGGGTATTAGCTGCTTTGGGAAAAAGTCGCACGGGTTCTGCTCGGACATTGAAAAACTACATCACATAAACTATCGAGAACTGTTGGCAGTTTTCTTTGGGCTAAAATGTTTTGCAGCTAACCTATCTAATTGTAACATCCTGTGTAGGGTGGATAACACCACAGCCTTGGCCGACATTAATAAAATGGGTAGTGTGCGATTTTCAAAACTTAATAGTCTGGCGCGCACCATTTGGCAATGGTGTGAAACAAGAAACTTATTCCTTTATGCGGCATACATAAAATCGGCCGATAATAAGGAAGCAGATTTGGAATCTCGTAGTTTGGAAACCGAGACGGAGTGGTCCCTGGACGTATCTGCATTCGAAAACATAGTTGCACAGTTTGGCAAGCCTGAAATTGACCTGTTTGCGAGTAGAATTAATGCAAAATGCAAAAACTTTGATTCGTGGTTTAGAGATCCTGAGAGTATGGCAATTGATGCTTTCACGTTGGTTTGGGAAAGCTCTATTTTTATGCATTTCCGCCATTTTCACTAATTTTGCGGGTATTGAATAAAATCATTCTCGATGGAGCAAGGGACATTCTTGTCGTCCCCCTATGGACATCTCAACCATGGTATCCTGTGTTTACATCCCTTTTAGAATGTAAACCAATAAAATTTCGGCCATCCAAGATGTTAATGTCTTTAGCAGGTCACCACACCCCCTTTGGAGAAAGACTACCCTGGTGGCAGGAATTGTATCAGGCAGGCGTTGATGTTGGGGGACGTTCCCTCGGAATCGCTAAATATATGTCTTGCATCAGTTACAGATAACATAATTAAGCAGTACAACTTGGGCTTGAGGCTTTGGTGGGAATATTGCAATCGGGAAAAAATAAATATTTACACCCAGTCGGTATCTGCAGTACTTAAATTTCTAACATTTCATTTCAATAAGGGGTCTTCTTTTAGCTCTCTGAATTCATACAGAGCAGCACTTTCATAGATTCTAGGGCCAAATCTTAGTGAAGATTTCAGAATTAAAAGATTTTTCAAAGGACTGAGTTGCTTAAGGCCTCCGCTTTCTAAGTATAACAACACCTGAGATCCAGGCATAGTTTTGAACTATATAAAAAATTCATATTCTACGAATCCTACTTTAGAACAGTCAACTCTCAAGACGGCCATGCTCCTCGCCTTAGCAACAGGCCAACACGTCCAAACATTAGCTAGTATGGAAGTGTGTGATATTCAAAATTTCTCAGATGGGTTAGAAATCCGCATATCTAGCAGGATAAAGACATCTGGCGTTAACAAAATGCAGCCCACATTAGTTTTGCCATTTTGTCCGGATAATGTGAATATTTGCCCAGCAAAAACGTTACTGTTATATCTGGAAAAAACAAAGGCTATTCGAGGTAACGAACTGAGTTTGTTGATATGTTTTAAAAGGCCGCATCGAATAGCCTCTGCTTAAACCATCAGCAGATGGTTAAAAACTATGTTATTAAAGAGTGCTATAGACATAAGTTCTTTTTGTGGTCAGAGCACTAGACATTCAGCTACTTCTGCCGCCTCCAGGAAAGGGATAAGCTATGATAGCATCCGGTTGGCTGCGGGGTGGACGGAAAAATCTAAAACATTCGCAAGATTTTATCAAAAACCATTAGTTTCTAGTAAGTCTTTGCGGAAGCAGTGTTCAGTTGTGCCTAATGTTAAAGAAATTAGAAACAGTTGTTCTTGTTCACTATAGAGAAATAGTGGAAATCACTGTTAAGTTTGCAGTTACTAATATGTATATAATTACGCATATGTAACTTGATGATACTAAACAAATTATTGCAACTTACTTTGAACTACTACACTATTCTTATTTATGAAGGCGAGGCGCAGTATAATTGAGAGATTAAACGAACTTACCTAAGTGAAGTTTAATCCTAATTATATGAGCCTCGCCGGAATAAATAAGCTCTCGCCCTTTACTCTACCCTCCTCAATATGTTGCAACAAAGCTTTGTACAGGTATCAGCGTTCGACAGAGTAGCGGTAAGGACAGGACTGTATCCAGGGTGAGAAAATTTGCTTTGAACTGTGTGAGATTTGACTGCAAGCAGAGCTACTACACTATTCTTATTTATTCCGGCGAGGCTCATATAATTAGGATTAAACTTCACTTAGGTAAGTTCGTTTAATCTCTCAATTATGTCACATTCTAAACCAATTTGCCGAATTTTCGCTGTACAATTTACTTCAACTTAGGACAACGCGTCTGTTCCTTTTTCTTCACTGACGATTAAGTTATTGGCATTTTCTTCTGGTTGATTTCGCATTTTTTGTTCCAGAGTTTTGGCAAATAATGACAACCGGGTTGGCGACGATTAGGGAATCTCTGAGAATACATTCGAGCTGCCTCAGATGCTTATTTTCTTGCTTCCCCTTAAATAAACAGCATGTCCTTTTTCTCGCTTCTAGTACCTGTAGTTTTCTATTGTAAATTCACTTCGTAACTAAATAAATTTCAAAAACTGCCAGTATTTTTTTATAATCCAGATCAAAAAATAATTAAAATAAAAATGTATTCATCTGTCAAATATTGACAAGTGATTGTTAAGTTCAGAATTTAATTCTTGAGCGAGGTCAGTAAAAATATATATGGTGTGACTTTAAAAATCGAAAGTTGGAGTCGTTTCTGGTCAAGCCGGAAGTACGTTAAAGCCAGTGAATATGTCAAAAAATGTAAATTAATCTGAAATACGCAACCCTCAAGTTTTGTTTTCCTATCTTCAATAATAAAAAAGTTATAGGGGTGAGCCACCTTAGAGAATCACCTGGCTTAGCTATAATCGAGAATCATGGGTAAACATATTATATATTTATTGAAGTTAGGATATCACATGATAAGGTCAAATCCAAACTTATTTCAGTTCAATGAAAACATATCCGATAATATAAAGTGTATGCAGATTCTTTACTAAACCTATTACGTTGGTTAAAAATGCGTAAATTAAATACCTCCTAGGCAGGATGAAAACTGTTATGATAACTTCAGAAATAATATCCAAAGTCGACGAACTAGCTTTTTCAAGTAAGTCACAACAGACAGCTTTAGTAATTGCAAGCCGCGCATACGTAAAAATTAACGTTGACATTTGGCTTAGGCAGGCGACAAGCCTTTGCGTCTTTATTTAATAGTAGAAAAGATGTACTAAAGTTTTATCGAGCCCGAGCGGTACGTCCCAAGTTATTGGCGGTTATAAAATTAGCGGACAGACCGACAGACAAACAGGCAGGCCGACGGAAATGGTTTTCCATAATGTACAAGTCATACAGTATAACATCAAAAAAACATACTACCTCAGTTTCGAGCGTTTACGCGATTACTGTACTTTCCCGCCAGTAGGCCAGTAGGCACATTTCTGTGAACTGCAAAAATGTGTTTACTTGTAAGGAGCTTCATTTTCTTACTTACTTACTAAATTGTGTTGGACGGCAATGGAGCATCGAAAGCTGTGACTTGCTGGACCTTAGAATGATGATTTAGATATATATATATATATATATTTACTTGAATTACAATTTAGAAATTTTGATTTGGTGACCTCAAATATAAATATTTCGTTTCACGTCATGCAAATGCCCGTATTAGCATTCTTTGGTATCATATTACATAATCCAAAAACTACCGTCTTTAGAGGAAATCTACTAAGAACCTTTTTGTTCCATAATGAAGGAATTTGACAGAGGCATTTGATCAGAACGAAGAGTCAGTTTTTATCAAGTGGACGAAAAAATGTCGCAAGAATTATTTTAGTTATTCTTAAAGCTGCTGACGAGGGTTAATGACACAAAAAATATAACTGTAATATAATTTTTAACGATGCTGTTGTTTTCGCCTTGTCAAAATAGCTACAATTCAACTTCAACAAATTAAAATACCGTTCGGATATGCGCTAGCCCATAAATCGGGCGCCTGTATATTCGGCTGTTGGACCGATCCTAAATCATATTTATCATTTCGGCATCAATGCGACTATATAAAATCGCAAATTTGTGACATTACGCTGCGTTACGTTAAAACTTTGTTTATTGCTCAGTTTTATGATATATATCTGGCAGGCAGGCCGGTTTCCTAGCCGAGTCGAAATTAAAAGCTCGCTGGAACATAAAATTGCATAATAAAACTGGCGCATTTCAAACTTCCCGTTGATTTTTTCAACCGCGTGTAGATAAAACTGCAGTGCTGCTATACAAAACTACGCGCTGTACATTTGTTGCCCTTTTATGTATGTTTTAGGTTTTGTTAGTGTCTCTGCTACAGCAATTGAGAGATATGCTCAGCGTACTGGAAGCTACAAA